CAGCTCCTTGGACATCCAAATGAGGTCCAAGCTGGAGAAATGTATACACGCAATATGTTTGATGTGCTCCAAACTGAATTCAAAGGATTTGGTACAGAGTTTTGTGAAGAATTAAGAAAAGATGGGGACATTGTTGAATACAAAGTCTGTAAGTTTACAGATAGAGAAAAATGGGAAGTGGTTACTTATGAGCAATCTAGTCAGATGCAGTTCCGTTTCACTTGTGCTTTGTTTGAAACTAATGGTGTTGTATGTAGACATATATTATCGCTAATGATGGCTAGGAAAATGGATTTATTACCCGACCATTACATCCTTCACCATTGGACTATACATGCTCGACATCGTAACATTGGGGTTGGCAATATTATATATGGAAGAAACATCACAAGCTGTGAAGAGAAGATTAATTTATTGAAATCTTGGGCCTTAAGAGCGAAATTCAATAATGCGCTCAAGCTTGCATTTGCTTCAAAAGAGAAGATGCAAAATCTAGATGATGTGCTAACAAAATTTATAGAACCACTGCAAGAAGAAGTTGGAGCACATTCCTCAAATCAAGATCAAATGGTGGACACTCAAATTTCCGCACACATCTCACATACAATGGAGAACATTCCTCATATTACAGTTCGTGAGCCTGATAGAGCTGCAAGGACTAAAGATCGTCCACACAATGCAAATAGAATCCAGTCAGGTTTAGAACAAGCACAAGAAAAGAAAGAAAGGAAGAAACGTATATGTAGCAGATGTGGTGAGCTCGGGCATTATAGAACTAGCTTTAAAGTCAATTTGCCAAGGTATAGTTAATATTTTTTCATGATAGTTCATAACACATAATTTTTGCCTTGATACAATTATATGATTAATTTGTCATGTGATTTGCAGCTAAACGAAAATATGTCTGGATTCTTCAAACTCCACATGCATGGATTTGTTCATGTAAGTATGTCGGAATTTGTTCCCTTTTGCGACGGTCATATGGTAGCCGCATTAATGTTCAATTTAGTTTTCCAATATCATATATAGCATTACCCTCCACTTAGATATCACAACTTATTAAGAGGGGCATATTGCCATCCGTCTGCATTCCTTTTTCCATACCATGTTTTATAGAAAGAATACAGGAGTCGTTTTAACAAGATGCATATTCTAGCAAGAGAACATTGTTGCTGATGTTAAACAAGATTATACATGAGACAAAACAAAATTACAAGGCGATGGCGATATTCTGCCAAAATTTTACGTGTACATAAAAGGGGCTTTGTGCCACAATAACGATTGATTATACATGAGAACATTGCTGTTGTTGCCTTACTCATTAGAAGTTGTGATAGTTGCTTCCTTTTTCAGCTTGTGGTTATTGTCGTATGATCCGTGTTTTATTTTTTGTGCTGTTCCATTATTGTCGTATGCTTCCTTTTTCAGCTTGTGGTTATTGTCGTTTTATTTTCTGTTTACTTTCAAACTTATTTTTTCCAGGAAGATGATGAATAGAACTGGGACTAGCAAAGAGAACATCCAAGTAGCTTAGACTGTGTATGGTTCTTTCCTGTTATATCTTTGTGGAGGACATTTAGCTGTGTGTGCTTATATCTTACTATTTGGAGCCTGAAAGTGGAGGACAATGAGTTGGTGTGCTTATATCTTACTATTTGGAGCCTGAAAGTGGAGGACAATGAGTTGTAACTTTTTCTGTTTTGAAACAAGAAAATGTATCAAATTTGTGAGACTGAAAGTGGAGGACAATGAGTTGTAACTTTTTCTGTTTTGAAACAAGAAAATGTATCAAATTTGTGAGTGTTCTTGGATGTATTATATTATGGTCGATACATTTGTGCTGCATATGTGTTTATCATTTGCTATTAAGTGTTGTATCTAATTTCCAAACGTCGTTTTTAAGTGAGTTATTATCGTTCATGTAACCAATATCATTTTTGTTATCGATGAGGAATATGATGGACGAAGCATGAGGAGGAATAATATTTTGTTTTTTTTTTCGTTCAAAAAATTTTTGTTATTAAAGAATTTGAGTGGTCTCCAGGTTAGGTTTCAAGTTTTTGGAATCATCACGCACCTCCTCTGTCAAAGGTCAATTTGTGTTTGACTTGCTTATAGCAATTTCCAATTAATAGAGTTTACTTGAAATTTGGAGGGGCTTGTTTGTGACTGTTGTTTATTTGAGTTTATTTGAGAATAATCAAATGCTGGCCATGTCTAACGAGTTTGTCTGCTGTTGTTGCTGCTTGTTTGTGGCTTGGGCTCTCTTAAATACGTTGTTTGAGATGAAGGGGGATTTATACAATAACTGATCATCATGATACTTCCACCCTAGCTACTTTTTTAATTTCTTATAAAGCCAATTATAAGAGTGCAAACATTGAAAATAAATCAGAGATGCATGAAACTATAATTCCATGAACTGTCACGAATCTACAACTAAAATTTATTGAAATATTTAATAACTGATCGTATGTATGCCGATGAATAAATAATAAGATGTCTTCAAACGAAGCCCATTTGTGATATTCATTGTTCTTGTACTTGAGAAGCAAATACATGATAACATGTACATCTATATAATTTGTGTGTTGAAATTAAAATTCAGTGCCAGCTCTGACTCTGATGCTTCCAGTTTCCACCCCCTGATACTCTAGAACTTAGTACAGCACTGTGCCAATGCAACTTAATAGCTTTGACTTATAATAAGCACAAATCCAATAACATCAAACTGATAACATTATTATTTAGAAAGTACTAACTGATAACAAATCCAATAATACGTTCTCACACCCTACTTAGCACAAATCCAATAAAAATACCAACTAAAAGAACAAATATAATAAGCTTCAACATATCCATAATATCAATCTCAATCTTTCTCTTTTCCTGCACTTCTCCACTTGACACGGCTCTTGAAACTTGCGGCAACGCTCTCCACTGCTTCATCTGAACAAGCTCTGTCTTTGAGCTCTGTCTTTGAACCTTTAAACTCCTCTTCATCGGATACACATTTGAAGAATCCACAATTACTCACTTTCCAATTAGCGCATCCAAAAAACAATCGACCAGGGTTCGTCTTAGTTCCAGATCTGGAGAGTATAGCCCTCCTTCCATAATGGCACAACAGTACATGACGATTGCTTGAAGATGACTCCATGATCCACGACTTCAGATATAAAAGATTGCATATTCATAGCAAATGGTGAATAATAATTGGCAAAATAATAAAAACACACTCAGATGGCAAAATAATACCTGACGCTTATTTATTTCTTTTTCTCTGTGTATACTTGTGCGTCCATGCATGTGTGCTTTTAGTTTTATGTGCAGGTGTGAACTAGTTCGCTTTATATTTGTTAGACACCTTCCCGTTATGTAGTCTTCATATTACTGGCACCATTTGAACACATTATTTCATTAATGAGACTGCTTTGTTCAGTGTAGTTCATTTTTCTTAGCATCCTCATCATTCTAATACTGTAAACACATATAGATATATTTTTCTTTTCCAAATTTGCTTGTTACTTCTAATTTTCTTTCGATTCCAGGACAACGATTTAGTCTCAAGAGTGCAATCAGAGCTTGGCATGGACTTTTTTTTTCTTGTATGCAGGTGCGGGTGTGGCGATGTGATGCTATGATCCGATGATGCTATGATGTTTTGATATTTGTAATTGTTTTTCGACTACACTTTATGTTCGTGTATTAGTGTTACTGCAATTAGTCCTCCTGCTATAACACCTATCAATGCGTAACCAACAACCTCTGCGCGTAATTTTTCAACCAAATTAAAATTCAATTCGCTGACTATTGTTGGACCCTATAGAGGGTGATTAGGGTCTTATGCTAATCTAATCCGATTTTATGCCAATTAAAAACTAATTAACAAGTTATCCTAGCAAGTATGAAATGCAACAATATATATGAACTAGGATAAGCAATATACAAAATGATATATCCTAGCAAAGAGGCATATAGTGAAATATATGCAAGGATATATAAACTAACACAAGGGGTAAACAAACTAAACAAGATAGTGGATGATATAGATAATGAGCTAATGACAATGGCGATATAAGATATGAACATAAATATGAATGAACGCCAAAGCACACTCAAACAAGCAATATGATCACGGAGTTCGGACCTTCCGTCCTACGTCTCCGCTCCCCACTCCCGGGGAGAAATCCACTAACACAATCCGGTTTGGAAGCCGGAACTTCTTCTACACACTCGATTTTCTAGCTAACCGAAAACTCTACAACTCACACTCTTGCAATCACACTCTATACCCACTAAGTGTTGGACCTAGCCGTGTCTCCCTCAAGTGCTCGGTTACAACCTCTCCCTAGGCACGTCAACCGACGCCACTCCTCTTGGGACGATCCCCGACTCTCACCACACACTCCTCACTCGGTGTACAAGTGTATTACAAAGTGATTCTCACAATAAGCACAAATATGACAAATGATTGTTCTCAAAACAAGGTGAGAACTCAATTAAGCTCACTCTCAATGTCACAAACCCACAACCCTAAATTATACTATGAATGTAAATACAATAAGCTCAAAAGGTTGTGTGTGAACAAAGAGATATAAATCAAAACTAAACTCAATGTAGTTCTAGCTAAATAACAATGATAATCAAATATATAAAATAGCTAGAAATAGAGTTTAGAAAACTTCTCAATATATCAAGAGTGGAGGGAGAAGAGTTGGATGCCCAAACACCAATAGATGATCTCCTCAAGCTCTTGTAGAATTGAATCACAAAACTGAAACACTCAAATGCTTAAAAGCTTCTTAAAACAAACTTAAACAAACACTAAACAAGTTTAAACCCTTGTTAAAATCTTTTAAACCATTCTCTTGTTAGTTGAAAGATGACAGCAATGGGGTATTTATACCCAGTCCAAAACTCAGCCAAAACCCCAAACAAAAGTCCAAAAAGCCGCAGAAAAATCAGCTCAGAAAATAGCCATTAGAGTGCAACGGATCTATTTTAGGTCGACCGATGGAGAAGTTCGGTCGACCGACGGAAAAGTCCGGTCGACCGCTATCCAGGTCAAAACGAGAAGAACAAAAGCTGACTTATCCGGTCGACCGGTGCGGTCGACCGAAGGAAGCTCTCGGTCGACCGCGGCGGTCGACCGACGAATCTCTGGAAAAATACTGACGAATGGTCAATTGACCGGTCGACCGTACCGGTCGACCGAAAACTGACATCCCAGAAAAACAAAGCTGATTTTAAAACACTGTTTAAAAATATCAAATAAATTCCAAAAAATGTAAAACTTTGGGGAATGATTGTAGACATGATAATAAACATGCTACAACGACTGGTTTCGAAAAAGGACTTCCCAAATGAAAAATATCATCATTTTACAAAATAGTTCAAAAACATGAAAACCTGAAAATTGATATTTTGATATTTTGACTTAAACAACATTTTGAAACCTTATGAAATGATTGTATAGACTTGATAAAAGATATAACATGTTGTTATGAAGTCTATAACCTAGAAATACAATATTTTCATAAAATTGCATATTCTATGCAATATATTCAAAACACTAAATATGATTTCATTAAATATAAGCTTGTTAAAGGTGAAATCATATATAGGCATATAAACATGAATTGCAAGGCTTCACCGACATTCCGCCAACCTCCATTTGATATGATCGTTAAGGCGCAATCCATCCATCCTCCAACTACGTTGTTTGTCTATAATAAATAAGAAAACACAAATACTAGACAAACAATATTAGTGGTAAATTGTTTGTTAAACATCATCAAAACAAGAAGGCCAACAATCTCCCCTTTTTTTATGATGACAAACCATTTACAAAAAGAAGTATATGCATGAAGTAAATGAATAATATATAATTTATAATTCACATGCATATAAACAAGAAAGACTATACTCACAATATTTCTCCCCTTTTGACAACATAAAAAAGGGGACAAACGAATTAAGAGAGCGAAAGCTCCCCCTATCAATAAGCATAGGTGAGTATAAAAAGAATATATATAGGGATTGCTCCCCCTATCAAAAAGCCATATAGACATATGTGAGCAAGCATAAATGAAAAATATGCTAAACACCACTCACATACAAAAAGACAATATGAGAACATATATAAATATATCAAGGTGAAAAATAGTGTCTCATATCAAAGAACATAAAAACCATTTGTATAGGTAGATTTATGAAATCAAAAGAAGAGAAACATGGGAATCATGCAAAAAATTTTCAAATTAAAACAAATCAACCAAAAGAATTCATAAATCTAAATTTATATCCAAAACCGATGTTTGATCAATGAAATGAATTTTCTTTGTGGGATTTGATCAAACCACATATAGAATACATTATAAGGCACGAATAGATGATCCATAAGCACAAACACATAAATATCATCATATAAGTGAAATATAATGAATTCAAAGCAACAAATAAAAAACAAGACCTTTAACAAAAGAATTTTAAGAGAGGCAACAATATATCAAGCTCTTAAGATTGTTCCAACCCATATAATCATTCTCGCATCCGGTAAACATGATTTGGGAATAAACACCCAATAAATCCGGAGGGTTATATAAATACAAACCTCTCATGAAAA